CGAATGGCCAGGACTTTCCTCTGGAACTTACATCTGGTGAACAAAGAAGAAGAAGGTAACATTACAAATAAAAGGATCGATGCATTAGATAAAATCGGAATAAATCAGATGACCAGGCTGTTGATTGCAATGTATGACAGCGGAGATATACCAACGGAATTATGTAATTCTATGTTTATTGCAATCAAAAAGAAATCAGGGACCCTATAATGTGACCAGCATCTAACAATTAACAGTATGAGTCACACCACAAAGATTTTACTAACAATTATCATGCAAATGATTAGGAGGGAAATAGAACCAGAAATAGGATAAGAACAATGTGGGTTCGCAGAAGCAAGAGTACAACAAAAACTGTTTCCCCTAAGTTTAGGTTTAGGCGACAAATCAACATCATGGCACGTGGGTGGTAGCTCATAAGTGCTCCGTTCTACTTCTGACTCAAGCCTGAGTTCGAAGAATCTCAGCGCAGTGCACGAACTCCGTAGCACCGGTGAGGATCCTGAAATACTTTGGGTAGATTTTCAACTTAAAATTTTGTCCGGGCAGCGCCGCTAGGCTACTCTTTTTCGATTTCCAACAGCCAAGAAATTTTTTACGTGCGCAGCAACACACACGGGCGTCCGATCTTACTACCCAGAGACCAGGGAAAATTACTAGAAGTCCACGTGGAAAAATCCCAGCCTTCACCGAGGCTTGAACTCAGGACTTCCAGCACTCGGGGAGGACGCCATGCCTCGAGACCACACAGCCCTCGTATCCCCTAAGAACAATATTAGAACAACCAATAGACGTAATAAAGATCTTCACCTCTGCTTTATTTATTACACAAAGGCTTAAAGAGTATGACATGATAAAAAAATGCTTACAAATCTATACATTGATGGGAAAGACCTTAGACTGATCAAAAACATATACTGGAAACAACATGCTGCTATACGAATCTATAATGAAATAGATCTAACAACTGGGATGTGTAATATTTCGAGGTCTTTTTTCTTATACAGAGCGACTTTTATGTGACTCTTAAAGACACGAAGTAAATCAACGTTAAAAGAAAAATGTGGGAGGTGTAGATGTAACATCGACAATATAATAGTTGCAGATGATACGGCAGACAATGAAAAAGATCTGTAGTGTTTAAGAATGTAGTTAATAATTCACCGTGAGAATTTAAGCTTAGAGTATTGCAAGAAAACATAAATTATGGTCATCATCAAGAAGAAAAAAATACCATAATGTGAAATATACGCAAACGGTAAAATTCGTAAGCAAGTGAATAGATATACTTTTCTTCGAACTGTCATCAAATCGAATGTAAGATGCATTGCATAAATTAGAACAAGAATCGCCATGGCAAAATTGGCCTTTAGCAAGATGCAAAAGACTCTTTCTTACCAATAAAAAGATGTCAACTGCAGTAAGAAAAAGGGTGTTTAAAGAACTTTGTAGAATTGGTGTTGTTAAATGTATGTAAGAAATGGACAAGAAGCAAGCAAGCTGAAAATAAAATGTACTGCAGCACAGATATGGGTTTTTTATTTAAAGAAGAAAAGCAATATATATATATATATATATACGAAGCCCTCACCGAGACCCCCTCCCCCCCCCCACCCAAAAAAAAGTCGTAAACTTATCAGAACAATTAGATGTAGACAATCAGTGTATTTTTTATGGTCACGAGGATAGGGCTAGTCAGAAAACATTGATCTGATCCGTGGTTCTTAGGATCTGGTTTATATATATATATATATATATATATATATATATATATATATATATAAACTATTGCATCTGCATTGTTACTTGTTTGTTTCGTTACATTTGCTGAAGCAATCGGATTTGTTAATGAAGCTCTTCTGACATGAAAATAGATTAAACTCGGGACTAAATCAAACTCGTCGACTCACTTCGGAAGCCGAGATACCAGATTGGCTTTTTAAGTTTGTATTTGAGACTGTAATCCAGGTGGGGCGGAGAAGGGGCGTGTAGTGATCAAAGCTTTTACTTCGCGCTCTGAAGGTAGTGAATTTGTTTCGTAGACTCGTTCAATTCACCAGTACAATATTTTAGGCAGATTCCCAGGCGATCGTCAAAAGAGCTATAGAGTTCGTGCTTTGTGATGCGCTTTCGGCAGCTGGCTAGTCGTTTTGCAAAGAGAGACCGAGCCACATGAGTTGAAACGGAGTGCTATAAAGTCGACCCTCCCGACTTTAAATTACATTTTCTAACGTCAAAATCTAACAAATGGTGTGTATGTCATGTCTGTCCATAGCATTCTGTCTACACCAAGTATAGGCCTACGTGACGCACATGTAGTTCCATGTTAAGATTCTCAACTTAATTACATCCTTTCTTTTTATATTTGCTGTGAGCGCCCCCCGCCCCCCTTTAATTAAAAAAAACTTTCTGGAATTTATCACGTACTTCAGTTTCTCACAACACAGAATAATGATATCCTAGATCACGTTATACATTAGCAAAGATAAATTATCACATTTGTTTAAAAAGGTGCCCTCAATATGTTCAGTCTAAACGTAATCGGCCACCAGTATTTTCAGTGCATTTAACAACACACCGTCGGTACAACAGATAATAGAAAAACATTCCACGTGGAATCCACAGCTCACAGTGTCGCACTAATCAATAATCTCAGTACCTAGGTGGCGGATCCTTTGGACAACCGGTCCATAAATGGGGAATTGGCATCAGCAAAACATAGATTAAAGGAATAATTTTTTAGAGTGTCAGCGTTCAGCAGTCTATCGGCCCAATTTGTCCTGAAGTCTAAACATAATTAAAAAAAAAAAAAAACTAAAAGATTCCCTGTAAACATGTATAGACATTTTCTTTAAACGTAACTTCTGATACATTTCGTGGTATTTCAAATATATTGTCATATTTACTTGCCATTCAGCACAATAATAATAAAATAATAATAGTAATAATAAAAGCAATAAAAATAGTAATAATAAAAGCAATAAAAATAGTAGTAATCGTAGTAATAATAATAATGTGAAGAATAGCAAATAAATTTAATAATATTAATGTAATTATAAACTTCAAATTATATGAAATGCATGAATAAATACTTTAAAACTGGGCTGTTCAACCAGCGGCCCTCAGGCAGAATCTGGTTCGCAGATGCTAGCAAAGCCTGCAGAACATTACCAATTGTATTGAACAAATGCTCACTATACGCTGGGGCCCATGCCTCTGGCCCATGTCAATACCAATTTAAAACATTTTGAGCCCTGAGTATACCTAGTTGAATAGCTCTCTTTTAAAAGATAACTCCTAAAGAGGAGATCTTAGCGCCCTTACGCAATTATTTGGTGGGGAAGGGAGGTTTCAGTGACATCCCCCCCCCCCCACCAATCCAATTATTTGCCTATACGATTAGTAATATAGGTAAGACAATAAACGAGCTTCTTTTTGCAGACGATCAGTGCCTGTTCCGCAATTAGGGGAGTTGACAGCAAGACCTCCTGAAAAGGCTAAGTTCAACGTGCACAAGACTTAACACGAAAATAAATACTATAAAACTGAAGTAATGCAGGTCAGTAGAATTCCAAGACCGCTACATATAGGGTTGAATGGCACTTGTCTTAAACAAGTCAAATAATTTTTAATGTACTGCAAGTATATTTTCGGAGGATGGGAGAATAGATAATGAAATAGAAATAAGATGCCCAATGAGCCAGTGCACTTATACAGGTATAACAACTGACACTGTTATTAAAACATCCAAACATAAGTATGAGCTCCAAGCAACAGTTTATGAACAGCATATTCATACCAGCACTGTGCTACCAGTGTCACACTTGGACATTTTCACATGCTAAGCTGTGTAAAATTAACATCTATGAAATTAGATGCTTGAGAAAAGCCGCTAACAAAATTAGAAAGAATATTATGAGACTATAGGAACAATACCATCCATCACATTCATTGGGAAACAGAAGAGCAAGTGGTTTGATAATCTAGTAAGAATGCATCAAGAACAGCTACCAGTACAGACACTACATATGATAAGATTTGAAGTGAAATCACTAAGTCGCCATAGGAGAATATTGACTGATGATATTAAAGAGCTTCCGCATCTACAAGAAATGAAATAGCCGTTGCTTTCAAATGGATCGCAAACTTCCTCCCCAAGATGCTTAATGACAGATTTTAAAATTTATAAGGTTGATGATGAATTTGTAAGATGGTGTGATTTAGGGGTAACCAATGTTTTCTTACCTAGTTGAGTAATTTCTTACCAAATGTCTTAATTTTGTCTGAGGAGTTGAGGTTTGAGCTTCACCCTCCAAAACTATAAAATTACTAGAACATGTTTAGGCATGTTTAGATTATGTTAGCTTCGAGGCTGCACACCTGGATCCGACGTTTATGGACTGATTCGATGTAAGAAGAGGATGATTGTTCGATTAACTAACTAGACCAGATATAAGTAGATTTCTCTTAGCGCGAGTTTCGTTGTTGGCTGTTACGTAATGTTAATTTCGAGAGGATCACCTTCTTTGCACCTGTTTATCCCTTAGAGCTTGGTATCTCTCTCTCTCTCTCTTTCTGTAGAACAGTAAGCCGACTGCCGAGATCGTCGCAAAAAGCACAAGCTCCGTAGCGCCAGCGACTATCCCTGGGATCTCTATGCAGTTTGCACTTACTAACTAAACTACTTGTCCATAAAGCCAGGACCTTAATAGCGTGATGCAAACGGCTCAACAACTTCGCCACGGAGACTTCCAAAGATAGCAGTATGAATGTATGCTTTCTGTTAATATTGTGAAACCACATCATCCGATTCCCCCCGAAGATGTTTGGATGTAAATAAATATTGGGACCTGGCAACTTTACCGGATGTCGCCAAAGCGTTATTGTCGGGAGAAAACAGTTTTCTTGTCATATGTCCAACACCACACACTGACTGGATATTAACTGTATAACCTCTGCTATATATTAATTCAGAGTGATTAAACAAGCAAAGAACAGTCATGCCTGCTGAAAATTTAGAGGAACAAGGTTTAGCTAAAAATCCAAATCTAGAAAATGCACAACTTCGTTTCTTGCTCGGAACCGAGAAGTACAAGAACGACAATGATTTGAAGAAAAAACTTCTCGATGAAATCAAAGAAAACAGTGAGTACTGTCAGTTAAATTAGTAATTTGTATTGGTTGCTGGCAGAGCATCCTCTTCTGCACTGCTGATGGAATCAAAATAGTTAATTGGTCCGCAGATCATCATATCAAGATCTCAGTTTATAATTATTATAATTAATATAATATTATAATATACATTAAATATATATTAAAATAATAATAATGGGCTCTCCTTTCAACTACGGCCGGTAGGGTAGACAACAGTAGATGGCCGGTTAGTCGGAGTTCTGTCCCCTGGCTGCAGTGCTATTACGGAGTGGAAAAGAAGGAACAAAACAAATGACACAATTACTGTGTGTTGGCGATAGACAGCGTGCAGTGACCTGCTGTCATCATACGGTTTGGGTTAGGGGTAGGGTTTGGGTTAGCATTACGGTTAGTGTCGCCGCATCTCGTCTTCGCAGAAACTCAACGTAACACCCCAAACCCTAACCTTTAACCTAAACCAAACCCTAACCCAAACCGTATGATGACAGTAGGGCACTGCACGCTGTCTATCGCCAACACACAGTAATTATGTCACTTGTGTCGTTGCCTCTTGTCCACTCCGTAATGCGTCGCAAGAACGCGATCGCTAGTTTGAGTCGCAGCGCGGGGTCTGCCAAGCAGGTTGACCTCAATTTGTTTTGTGATTCGTGCTTTGTCCGGTCCGTAATGTAATAGCACTGCAGCCAGGGGACAGAACTCCGACTAACCGGCCATCTACTGTTGTCTACCAGCCGTAGTTGAAAGGAGAGCCAAATAATGAAGCCATTCACGCATTCAGCACGTAAGACGGTAAATCATTTTCTTCCTTACTAATGCTTGTCCACTCCTCAAATAAAAATCAAATATTTCTCATCTTGTCTGTGTGTAGAGTAGTTTCAAGTATGTATGGGGTGGATGACCCGATTTAAGTAAAGTTTGGACCCACCCCCCTCTTACAACTCATACACTTGCATTTCCCGACACACAAAATTATAACGGATTTGAACGAATGGCCAATGCGCTAGCTAGCGCAGGTGATTTTGAGCTATATAAAGAACAGTAAAACCACACCTTACAAGCCTTGTAACAAGGCAAATTGTAAAAGGTAACTTAGTAATTAAGAGCTGGTTTGGGGTTGGCAAACTTATCCCATAAAACAATAGCTACAAGAACCAACCAGCCATGCAGAAGCCTGCAAAAGAAACCAAGATTAAGGGAGGCTTTTGCAAATGAATTTTTAAAATGTGAAGATCCCTGTATGGGTTCAGGGGCTTTATTTTAGGGAAAAACAAGAATAGACCTGCTGTCCCCAACAAGACCGTCATAATAGTTGACTAATTAGAGATGTTTCCTTTGAAGTGGCAGTGCATCTGCCCATGATGCGAGAAACAAAGTCTCTATTCCAATAAGCCATTTCTGTAAAAACAGATGTGCGCTGCAAAACTCAGGCCCTAGAACAAGCCTCAAGTCCAGAAATTAATGAACAACCAGAGTTTACAGCTGGTGAATGTGAGGAGGAAAAACTAAAAAAAGGAGGTTTTGTTTCTTAAGTAAATTCAAAATGTGTACCACATATTGAAAGAACTGACATTTAGTTTTAAAGAGGATAGCAGTGTATTCAAAAGTCATTTTGTTGCACATGATCATTCCTTGACTCTTTTATACTATCAGAAGGTTTCACATGAGATACTAAAGTGACAAAGTAGTCATGATGCCTAATCATGAATGCTTTACTTTGAAAGTGGTAATATACATAGTTGTAGTGACCAATGGGCGGAGCTAGGTTTCCTTTCTGATATGTTCTGACCCGTATGTGTCACCGGGGCATTCACGGGAAGCAGAGAATAGTGACACTGCACCCTACCAGGCATTTCATAAGAGGTGACTAAGGATAGGGTTGGGCTTGAGGTTGGCTAATTCTGCCTGTAAAAAAAAAACCAAACAACCATGGAAAAGCAAAACAGAGAAACAAGAAAAACCTGGCTAGCTAAGGTGGGGGGAGGATCTTCTAGTAGAAGAAGGAGCTAAAGAGCAGAGTTAAAACGATGGGGAGGTCTTGGGGAGAGCTGCATGTGAAAGCGAAGGATAGAATGACTTGGCGTGAGTTGGTTGAGGGCCTGTGCTCCCTTGGGGTTTGAAAAGGCTGAAGTCTGTTCTGACCATATGGTCAAAGAAGGAAAGCGCACTATGCTAGGGAGAGAAATAAAGGGTTAAATTCATTCACACCATGCGTTACTTGGGACTGAAAGAGTTAAATAAATACAATTAAAGTTAGCATCATCATCATTATGTGGCTTGATGGTTGTAGATGGTGATGGCTCTTTACAGATCTCGGTACAACATAATCTTTTTTAATCTGTCTCTTCAATTCATGATCTCTTTTAGTCTGTCCCTTCTATCCATAATCTCTTTTAGTCTGCCTCTTCTATCCATGATCTCTTTTAGTCTGCCTCTTCTATCCATGATCTCTTTTAGTCTGCCTCTTCTATCCATGATCTCTTTTAGTCTGCCTCTTCTATCCATGATCTCTTTTAGTCTGCCTCTTCTATCCATGATCTCTTTTAGTCTGCATCTTCTATCCATGATCTCTTTAATAAGCAACAGAATCAGTAGAGAAACAAGATTATTATGGCCTTGAGAAAATGAGGCACCTTGGTGTAACCAGAGGGTCTGGCCGGCTCACTACACTCATAGGAAAGGCAAGACGCACATAAAACCAGATTGTGACCGGTACCATCAGTATTTGAACTCTGTGCTGGCTGCTGAAGATGAGGATTGAGCACACATGGTAATGCCCTGAGTACTGTGATGTCAATTCTTGACTCAACTCAACCCATGATCACTTTTAGTCTGCCTCTTCTATCACTGCTGTTCCGATTGACCCAGATGAGTACACTAAATGAATTTGTCTCCAGATATGGCACCATTTTATGAAGAAGTGACTCCAGAATTGGGCTGGAAAAAGGATGAAGACCTACTTACCGCAATGAAGGCAGCAAACGTAGAAAAATTGAAGCAGTTGGATGAAGCTATTGCTGATGCAGAAAAGAATTTAGGAGAAACAGAGATCAGAGACAGCATGTTGGCAAAGGCAGAGTATCTGTGCCAGATTGGTGACAAGGTAAGAGTTAAATGTCATGTACCTTTTTTGTTTTTGTTTTGTTTATTAAAGCATTTTGGATTTACGGTGCTAGTTCTACATTTTTATAGGGCCAGTTACTTGTCGGAATATTTCCTGGTGCGTATTTAAAAAAAAAAAGAATTTTCTGACAGGAAATTCCAGTGTAAAATGTCCTGAATGTTCGTTTACTTCTGGACTTTTGTTTTGTTTCAGAACTTGAGTGTTGCATGTGCATCCATTTTATAGATCTGGCTTATTTTGGTGCAGAAAATTGTTTTTCCGAAATGCCAAAAAAGGACTTAATGCTCTCAAGATTATGGCTGCAATGGACATGGAACAAAGAATGCTGTTCATAGTGTTCCAGCATGTGATCCTATCAGAGATAGATTATGAACTTGGGATGCTTACCATATCAGAAAGTCAGCTGATGAAACTTAAACATGAATGAAGCCATGAGGGTGATATGGAATACCCCTGTAGTATGTTGTGACATATTCTTGCACTGTCTACTATTGCAGATAGGCTCAAAGTCATATCTCGGAGTAGCTGCAGACAAGAAGCACCTGCTCATGAAGCCCTGGGTAGAGCTAAGTGTCACAAACTAAAAAGTGAAAGGTATTGGATGACGCAAGCTGAAGACACATTTGGACATGTGTGCAGGCTTGATAAATTTAGGCAAGGGGAGGAGTGGGTCAAAGTGAGCAAGTTTTAGACTGGTAAAGGGTTCTGATCACTTCAGGTCATGACTGCAGGGGCTGGTCAGCTGGTGCTGCAGAATCAGAAGTTGAGCAAATGATTCATGTCAATTTCTGCCCAGTTGATGTGATTATCTATACAGATGGCTCTGTGTTGAGGGGCAGATGAAGTGCATAGGGGTTCATAGCAAAAGCAAATGGGCGTTGCTTAGTGCAACAAAGTCTGGCCCATGATATCACAGCATCTAGTTTAAGAAGGAGGTGGAGGCAGTCACTGCTGGCTTGAGAATCAGCTGTACACACATTGCATTGTTGTAACTGACTCACTGAACATGTTGAGAAAGGTAGAGACAGGCATGCTTCGTGCAGAGTATCAAGTAGTTAGCAACCTTTGGATATTTTCTCCATGTATGCCAATGTGTTGGGAAATGAGCAGGCTGTTAGACTGGCCGGCTCGGCGCCACTTGTTGGTGCATTGATGTGTGACAAGCTAGATATTGTGAGGGCCCTTTGGAAGAGACTGAACAGTGCGGAGGCACAGATAGATCATTATGGTCTGAGAAGAATGGTGCTGTGAGGAGTAACCAGGGGCTCTTACCGGCGCTCAACACTCAGGGGAAGGGCTGATATCAAACAGTTACTGGTGCCATCAGAATTGAAACTCTTTGTTTGCTGCTGAAGATGGGGACGGATTGCTTATGAGTGTCCTGAGTGCTGTGATATCTATTCTTTATTCAACATTAAATGTTTTCTTTTACAGCTTCTGATGTTGAGGAAGGTTGAAAGTTCTGCTTCTTGCTCTTCTAGTCACCTAAATAAGTTCTTATCAGATTTGAGTCTTTATTCTTCACTCTACGTAAAGTTCTGATGGACATCAGCCAAAGACTTCTTTTAAAAGTCCACTAGTACTAGAAACACGATTGTCTTATCTGTTTTAGTGGTTCTGTGTGGGTAGTATTCGGGACAGTGATTAATGCAATAGTGAAGAAACTTGAGGCAAGGGAAATGTTGGTTTTTAAACAAGGGTTGTCAAAAACGGGAGAGATATTGAAAGCTGTAGGTGTCACAAGTCACTTAGCAAAACCAAGAAAATAGAAATGAAATTTATAGGGCATATGAAATATGAATGGAATAGTGAGATTAGTCATGTGTAAAACATACTAGGCAGTAGAGGTAGAGGCAGACCCAATATTGTATAAACAGCTAGACAAAGAAAGTACAAGCAGCATCAACTTCATCGGTGTAACAGCAAACTTTAACATTACAGAAAATGGGCTCATAAACAATATTATGGCTTGGAAATTGAAATACTTTGGCTATGTTAATTGTCAGAGAGGTAAACACTTCAACAAAGGGCATGGTTTTTAGATGAAGCAGAAGTTGTCCATAGTGAAGGTAGTCTACATGCCATTAAAGACACTTTAGGCCTGGAAGTTCATGAAAATGAGGAATGCAGCAGCTTGAGAAATTGTCTGGCAATTAGAGAGATGAGGAGCGGTTGGCCAAATGGTTAGAACACTGGGCTCTCATGCGGGAGACCCGGGTTCGAATCCTCGGTAAGGCTAGGGATTTTTTCTCTGTGGGGCAAAATAAAATCCTTACTTGCACAGTTGTGGTGACAGCACTAGCCATGCGGCCATAAATCCTCAGGCTCGAAGATCCCGCTGCCTACACAGCAGAAGTTGTATATAACGGCAGTAATTGGCAGAGGAGATAGATGTTCTGGAAATGATCTGCTAAGAATGTCAAGGTTGCATTGTTATCTCTTAAATGTTTATAACAGAAATCAAAGGTATCTGTTATAAGTAAAAAAGTAACTCACCCCCTTTCAAGCCTTTGGGCATATAGGGCTAGGCCTGTAGAAGGTATCTGTTATGGTAAAAATATATTTTGTAGCTATTTGTTTGCTATAATATTAAATTCATACTGGTTTATCAAGTCTTAGCAAAACAAAAAATATATATAAAATTGGAAAGACATAACAAAATTCAAAACTTTCTGTTTAGGCCAATGCTCTGACGGAGTTTCGCAAAACTTATGAAAAGACTGTTGCACTTGGCTATCGTTTGGACATAGTCTTCCACTTGATCAGAATTGGTTTATTCTACAACGACCATGACCTTATCACAAAGAACTTGGAAAAGGCTCAGAGGTTAGTAATATTTATTGAAATAGTAAACATGGTTTTCACATTTAATGTAATTCTTATTCTAATTCCTTGTTCATCTCAGTGGCCTAAATGCACTCTGCCTCTTTAAAGCATAGCTGCAATATTTTCACCTTAAGAATTACACATCCAACTTATTGGACTTTTTGTTTTCTGTGTTAAACCTTGTTGTTTAGTTTCATAGGGCATTTTGCAGCCTTATTTGTCTGGTTACTACATCATTCCCCTGATCCATATGTTTTCTTACTACAAGACATCTAGGTGTATGGGCTTAGGCGTTGTGAGTCTGACTTGTATTGCGATCGAAACTCACTGCTGGCTACGTAGATTTTTATCATGGTATGGGGTGTCACAGGTCGACCCAGCCTAAAATGGGTACCAGGGGAGCTGTCTTGGTGAAGTAAAGACGGCCGGCGTAATGCTGACCACATTACCCACCTAGTACCGACAGTCTGTAAAAAATTGGGCGCTTTTCCCATATACCTGATACCCTTAAATGAAAAGGGATCTTTACTTACTTACAGACATCCGGGGCAGTAAGTTAGTTGGGACTCAAAGGAAATCGTGGGCAGAACGTAGGCATCCCTCGTCATCCAAGGAGGCTTCCCTAAATGCAGAGCTGATGCATGGTGCTCTGGTACTGGGCTCACCCAAGGAATCGTCATGTCCTGCACATTGTTGTTTTACCTAACATTCTTATATTCAGCATTCCCCTCATTATAGGCTGTGTTTTTAGCGACCCCTAGGAAGCTGTCTGCAGACATGAGACTTCGAATACCTGCAGAAATTGGGCATCTCTCTTTCTCCGCATCTACTTTTCACTTGGTGCCCCGGAGCACTTAATGTGCCATTTTTTGGGAAGTATGCATCAGTCATGGCTTCACAGTGTGGTCATGTCACTCCAGTGAGTGTGGCCAGAGTCTACATTTGAACTGTTTGTGTCATCAGGGAGGATTTATGAGCAAAAAACATATAAGACTTCCTGTAAAATATGCTTTAGAGCCACAACCATGTGCAGCAGAGCTAGCAAGACCCATTCTATGAAGGTGTACTGTGAGTTTTCAGTATCCCATTTTGAGACTCAAAATTTTGGTATCAGCCTTTCTTCCGAGTCCGTTTGCACTGTCATGCATTGGTCTGCAGTAGTTATTCTCCTCTCTCCAGTTTGTCTTCTTGGGCGTTTGAAAGAGTGTCTTTATAACATTAAATGTCCATAATGTTTGCCTGAGATTGACGTGCCAGTCGACGGTCTGAAGTCGAATGCAGCAGAAGGAGAAGATTGCTGTGGTTTTTCACCTTGTTTAAGGATGGAATCATACAACTAACCTGTCTTATTATCTCCATTAGTTTGATAGATGAAGGAGGTGACTGGGATCGAAGGAACAGGCTGAAAGTATACAGAGGCCTCTACAACATGTCAGTCCGTGACTTCAAATCTGCAGCAACATTGTTCCTGGATACCATTGCCACATTTACCTCATATGAGCTCATGGAGTACCAGCAGTTTGTGACGTACACTGTTCTCTGTAGCATGATAGCTCTAGAGAGACCAGAGCTCAGAGAGAAGGTAATACTTCAAATTTGTTCTCTTCACTGTTAGACATTTCTTTATAGTCCCACTGGGATGGAGGGTTACAGAGCATTAGGGAGAGACCTTATCCTAGGAAAAGGAAATGCAACCGAGAAAAAAAAGATAATGTTATGGCAGAGCTCTTAGCCTTGGTTGGCAGCTTTTTCCCGGTGTGGGTTCTAGGGCCCTATTTTCGGGGTGGGGGGGGGGGGGGGGGGGGGGGGGGGGGGGGGGGTGGGGGGGGGGAGAATGGACCCACTGCCTACCCAAAAGCTTGTCGTAAGAGTCGACTAATTGGGAGCTTCCTTCTAAGTCGGAGTGCATCTGCCTGAGAGGCAAGGAACCAGCAGTCTGCATACAAAAGAGTCAGATCTGTAAAACGGATGCACATGCAACACACAGGTTCTGGAACAGGACTGCTGTCCAAAAGTGGATGAAGAACCATAACTTTCCGCCAGTTTACAGCTGGTGAACGCGAAGAAGAAGGTTAGCAACACATCTAGGAGGGAAGTTCCAGCAGATAGACAGAGCACTGTTCAGTTTTTGAAATTTGTATGACTTCTTGAAATATTTTTGTGTGTGTCTTTATAGGTTGTGAAAGGGTCAGAAATTCTGGAAGTTCTTCATGGGCTGCCCACAGTCCGCAAGTTCCTGTTTTCTTTGTATGATTGTCAGTATGGAGATTTCTTCCTGGCTCTAGGTATTGCCTGTTTCACATGTTTTATGCGTCTAGTTATGTATCTGTAGTAAACAGAGATTACTAGAATTTTATAGGACTCTTTTTATGCCTTTGGCGCTTCTGGCATATAATGATGAATTGCATTTTTATAGACCAACTGGCATTTAGTGGGTGATGTGGTCAACATCACCATGACCGCCTTTACTTCCAAGGACATAGCTGGTGCCCATTTTTGGCTGGGTTAACCTGGGCCAAAATGGAGGATAGGCTTTGCAAAATGTGAAGCTTAAAAGTTATTTTTGCTTCCGACAGCGCTTTGCTAATAAAGTTTCCACATAAGAAGCTTCAAAGTTATTTTTGCTTCCGACAGCGCTTTGCTAATAAAGTTTCCACATAAGAAGCTTCAAAGTTAGTTTTGCTTCCAACGGCGCTTTGCTAATAAAGTTTCCACATAAGGACGGTAGTCTACGGTTTTGCTGCCTAAGCCACTGAGTTTAGTACATGGTTGCAGCCCTGTGAGCTGTGTTTTTCCTGTAGAATGCCTTTCATTTGTGTAGTGGCATTGAATATGGCTGGTAGCCGCTTTACTTTTGAGTTGGTATTATGTAATAATTCTAGGAGTGTATAGTAACCAGCTTATCGTGCCCGACTACTTCCATCAACGACAAACTGAAATTCTGGTGGCAGTTGTTGGCTCTGGCAACTCTAACAACTGAAATATGCATTTACTGCGTGCACATGTTTATGGATTGCTCCGGGACTAGTTGTTTGTTCACCATTTTTTCAAACACGACAGTGAGGGACATTTCATTTGATTCGCACTGGCACAGGAACAGAGCAAGTATAGGGAAAACTCAATTGTCGTGATGTTGAAACCTTGACTAAGACTAACCTTGGAGTCCAAGAAATAACACAACTGCATTATGATTAAATATTGATGATATTGAGACCATTACATTTATTCAATCCTTTCATTTTAGTACCACAAATCTGATTCTGTACTTATATACATTATCCTTAACATTTTGAGTCTGTACGTAAGGAAACGCCTGTAAAATAATGCAGTCATCATCAAGTGCCTTGTTGACTTATGTCGGCGAGCATGCTTCTCCACATATCAGTTTGTGCTGAAACTCTTCCATGCCGTGCCAGCTGTCTGGAGATTCTTCTCTCGTTGTGTCTCTCTTTCCATAAATCTTTACAGTTGCCACAATGTGTTCAAGTTTCTCTTCCTACGCTGTGTCTAAAAATGATGACTGCTTCTTTCTTATGTTTGTAGTAAGTTGCCTTAGGGTCTTAACCACTGCCTGTTTCTGATGTTTGTAATAGGTTACCTTAAGGGACTTAGCCTTTTTCAAAATATCAAAATATCTCATTTTGACTATTCCAAGACTTATCATTCTTCTGTAAAACTTCCTGTCTGAGGCCACAAGGACCGTCTTGGCTAGTTTATTAATAGCCTTACCCTAATACTTGTAATGCATCTTGTATAACAATTATTATGCATGTTTTTGTTGTTGGTCTTAGCGGAGGTTGAGAACCAGATGAAGTATGACCGTCTGCTGTCGGCACACTACTCCTATTATGTACGTGAGATGCGCATCATGGCCTACGCCCAGCTTTTGGAGTCCTACCGCAGTCTCACACTTACTTACATGGCCAAATCATTTGGTGTCACAGAATCATTTATCGATCAGTAAGTTTGGTTCTATCTATTTCCCTTTACATTTTTTTTAGCTAAAAACATGACCTTCATTCATATTACTGAAAGGCAAAGGTGCTGAATCACATGGGATGATGCACAAGGATCAGGGTTTATACTGGTCAGGATCTATCTACACGTCTGCTTGGTCATCCCGTAAACTGGTTCCCTAACTAGGGGCCTGGCTAGCATAGATACGATTGTTGTTTCTTTCAAAGTCAGAGTGCATCTGCCTGAGAGACTCCTTGGTCACTAATGGCTAACAGCCAAGTGATTTTAGCATCCACCTTACCGTCCCAACTAACAGCCAAGTGATTTTGGCATACACCTTACAGTCCCAACTAACAGCCAAGTCATTTAGCGTCCACCTTACAGTCCCAACTAGCTGCCAAGTGATTTTAGCATACACTTTACAGTCCCAACTAACAGCCAAGTGATTTTAGCATCCACCTTACCGTCCCAACTAGCTGCCAAGTGATTTTGGCATACACCTTACAGTCCCAACTAACAGCCAAGTGATTTTAGCATACACCTTACCGTCCCAACTAGCTGCCAAGTGATTTTAGCATCCACCTTACAGTCCCAACTAACAGCCAAGTGATTTTGGCATACACCTTACAGTCCCAACTAACAGCCAAGTGATTTTAGCATACACCTTACCGTCCCAACTAGCTGCCAAGTGATTTTAGCATCCACCTTACAGTCCCAACTAACAGCCAAGTGATTTTAGCATACACCTTACCGTCCCAACTAGCTGCCAAGTGATTTTGGCATACACCTTACAGTCCCAACTTAACAGCAGGTGATTTTAGCATCCATCTTACAGTCCCAACTTAAAACCAAGTGATTTTAGTATCCATCTCACAGTTCCAACTTAACAGCAGGTGATTTTAGCATCCATCTTACAGTCCCAACTTAAAACCAAGTGATTTTAGTATCAATCTCACAGTTCCAGCTTAGTGTCAACTGACTTTAGACTCATGACCAAGTTTCTGGAGCATATAGTATTGTCGAATATAACTTTGACAGTTATTAATTTTGTCTTACCTGTCTAGGTGTCATCTTTTTAAATTGTTTCTTTATCATAATAATTTTTTTTTTTCAAGTTGAGTGTATCTTTCGTCACTTCTGCTTGTTTTTTTTATTTCTGTTTCACCTCTGCCCCCTTCTGTTATTACATACCCACAATAGAAATATGTTTATTAATTGTTATATCTCACCATTTACTATATAATTTCATTCTTAAGATCTGACTAAACTGCAAACGTGTCCTTTCCTTGGTATTATTGTAAATAATCAAGGTGGTTAACCCAGCTCTTAAATTCCCGAACATTAATTGCGATGAGATATGGGACTGGTCGTTATAAAAACAGTTCTCAACACAGACTCTTCCCATTCCTAGGTAGTTGATGCTGTATAGAACTTTTGAATTAATAATATTCTAGAACCTTAAAACAGTTAAACATGTTTTGTTTGTTTGTTGCAGAGAATTATCTCGGTTCATAGCTGCGGGTAGACTGCACTGCAAGATTGACAAAGTTGGTGGCATTGTGGAAACTAACAGGCCAGACAGTAAAAACTGGCAGTATCAGGTTAGTTTACAAGTTGATATATTCTTGAAACTGATAAGTTTTAAAATTATTGGTGGAGTGATGTCATAGCAGTTGTAGATTAGAAATATCTTTGTTACCCCACATTATTTGTTAAATTAGCTTGCTAAAATGTTGCGTATGTTTTATTCTTCTGCTGGGCAATTTGTAAAGAAAATGGAGGGGTTTAGAAAGTACAGTAATGGAAGACATGAATAATTAGAAGAGACATGGGTTGATCAGTGCAATAATGGGCACAAGAAAGACACACTGCATGAAAGTCCAACATGATAATTTGATTGATAAAACTTCCAGCTAGCTTGTGATAAAACTGATGCAATGGATTTGCTACGTGATGATTTCAGATGTAGTGTTTTGTTTGTAGCTAGACTAAAGGAACTACATCATCATCATTAAATGCCTAGCTTACTAGCATGGGAACTTAACGCTTCTCCACATTTTGCTATTAACTGCTGGCAATATCTGTATTGAAGTAAAGATCGACAGGGGGCTAGACCATTGTCACAGACATGGACTAAGAACAGAAAGGGAATCCGTTTAGGTTTAGACATAGGATCAACATCATGGCACAAGGGGTAACCCATAAGTGTTCCATTCTACTTCTGACTCAAACCTGAGTCCGAAGAATCTCAGCGCATTGCACTGTAGCCCTGACAAGGATCCTAAAAATACTTTTGGTAGATTTGTAACTCCAAATTTTGTCCGGGAGCGCTGTTAGGCTACTGTTTTTGATTTCCAACTGCCGAGGGATTTTTTTATGTGCGCAACAATACACACGGGCATCCAATCTTACTACTCAGAGACCAGGAGAAATTACTAGAAGCCCAAATGAAAAAATCCCAGCCTCTTACCGGGGCCTGAACCTGGGACCTCCAGCACTCAAGGCGGACGCCATACCTCAAGACCATGCAGCCCTCCCAAATTTTGTGTTATGAAAATCCATATAGTGAAAGACTAATTCAACTAGGGGTGAATAGAGGTTCTGTAAGATATTTAACATTGAAGGAGAAACAAAGGCAGACTTTGAATCAGGTAGCAGCTAGTACTATTAGCATGTTGGTGACTAAAGAAGGTGACGAAGCACGCGTGGGATGCCCCGAGTGCACTGATGTCAATTCTTGATTTATTAATTCATTCAAAATATATTTTTTTATCTGAAAACGCATGGTCGGATTTTCTTCTTAGTCCAGCGGAAAGTCCTGATTGTTTGTCCATTTGGACTTTTGCTTTATGCCAGGGCCTGATTTTGCTTGTACATTCGTTTTACTGACTTGTGTGCAGCTGGTTGGTCCTTGCTGCTTGGGAAGCTCGCACTCTTACAACAGGATTATTGGAGTGGCAGTCGGTTTGTTCTTGTTTTCCCCACAGTGAGGCCCCGAGAACTCATACGGGGAACACAGGATAGATTTTTGAAGACTTTTAAACACCCACATTATTTTATCTTCTTCATTTTATCTTCATGTTCACTGTAAACTCCAGAAGAAAGTTCTGGTTGTGCATCTACTTCTTGACTTTTGTTCCAGAACTTGAGTTTTACGTCTACATCTGTTTTATAAATTTTCCTTATTTGTATGCAGACTGTTGGTTAATGCCTCTCATGATGAAGAAAACACCGTCTTTGAAAAAGAAAACACCGCTGATTATTAGCTGCCTTTTATGACATGCTGGTTTTTGGGAGGTGGTTTCAGTGTGGCCCCTCCCCTTTCCCAAATAAGGCCAGGGCTCACACGAGGAACAATGTATTATGAAAAATATCTTTAGCATCTTGATAGAATCGTTTTCTTCTTATAGTTCATGCTTTGTGCTGTTGGTAATGCCTTCCATCTCCTGTGAACTATCAGTTATATCAGATTCAGTTGCTGTTACATAAATAATTTCAGACTATCCAACATCACCCTCTCTTGATTTTCTAATGCTTCTGTTACCCTTCACTTATGCTAGGACATACTCTATTTGTTGCATTCTTATGTCCTCTAAAGAATGTGAATTGTTCACTTCTAAAGCAGCTAGTCAGCTCTCTTTGTTTATTTATTTTGACACATCTTTTAAAAAATTTTTAATTTGTTTGCAGTGTTTTCATGATTTCTTTTTTTTATAAAACCAAAAATCTACAAATCTTCTGATCATGATTAATTTCCCGAATTCAGGATTGGTTCTTTATAGCTGTTTAAAATACTCTTTCTCTCACCTAGTTTGACAGAAGTATATTTCACAGAATATTCTTCTTCATGTGAAATGCTTTTGCTTCAGCTTTTCTACATTTCTTTATGATAGTATAACAGAAAATGAAGTAATTGATACAAAATTTGAATTTAAAGATCGGCAGTTAGCCCTTAGCCTCCCCCTCCCCTTTCTACTGCCTCCACCAGTTATTAATAATGTTTTTGTTTGCATTTATAAACAAATGTTTCTTCTTCTTCTGCAGAACTGCATCAAACAAGGTGACATCCTTCTCAACAGAGTGCAGAAACTGAGTCGTGTTATCAACATTTAGTTAATTAGATCTGCCTGGACATGTTCAATTTTGTGTTTTGTCCACAAGTCACATTTGTATATTTTACATTATGGACCTATTTTTGATAGCTCACATAAAATTGGTGCAAATTTCAAAATGAGTTGTTTTGTATGAGTTGAGTATACAAATGTGCGCTATGTTTATCGGACGGGGTGGCTGAATTATTAGAATACCAGTTGTTGAAGATTTTTAGAGATGGTTCTTCTTCTTTGTTTGCCCTTATAAGGGCAGTTAGCAATTTTTGGTTTACAGCTAGGCTATGGTATCAGCACCTTTCAATCCAACACCTCTGATTTCAACAGACCCTCAATTATTCACCTTTCAAAATATGCTTGCTAAGGCTTTTTTTTCTTTGATCCTCAAAATGGGACTCTACAACCCACACCGGAAGAAATGTTCCTGGCAATACAAAAAAAAAGAAAACAGGTGGGGGTGGGGAGGGGGGGGGGACAATTACACATAGGCCTTACAGAATACTATCAATAAAAGGTCAGTGTTAGTGTCTCGAGCTGCTTCTCTTCTCAAAAGTCTTGCTTCAAAGTGTTTTAGCAGGTACAAATGAAGAACAACCGGACGTACCAGTATCAACATAAGAAGAGAATAATTACATCTTTCAGAAAGCCACCAAAACCGGCACAAGACGATTACCATTTTATGGACAGACCAGAGCAAGTTATTATTCTACGCCTTAGAACAGGACACAATCGACTTCGCAGCCACGTGTACTCAAAATTTAAATCGGCAAATCAGCCATGTGGTTTGGATTGCATTCGAGACAACAGTTCATGACCTCCAAGACTGTCCCAAATACAACATATCAAGGCAAAACATCGGTGCAAGTCAAACTTAATGGGTAGCTGGGTGAATTACAAAAGACAGTGAGGTTCATACATTGCAGATAATCTATTTCAAGCGAATGAAAGAAGAAGAAGAAGATAAAAGTTTTTTTTTTTCAAAGTGTGTTTGTTTATTAATTTAATTTTGTGTGTAACTGGTGGATATTTCTAGATCCTCTAGAAGACTGAATTTTAACTCTTTAGTTTGAGGCATTGATATTCAGATCATCGGGATCCTGAAGAAGGTTTGCATCTGATGGAGTGATTTTTTTGCTTATGTAAATGTTTGGTGACTTTGGAAGTATCATCCTGTGTCTTATTTGCACATCACATACCCTGAATAAAAATGTCTGTAACAGGTGGTCATAATTGTCAGCACAGTTTGTTGTGGTTTCTGATTTATACTGTTTGTCTTTGTAATTAATATAATTACTTCCTTTTCATGCTACTTGCTTGATCAGTAAATTTCACAGAAGGCAGCAAGAGCAGGGAAATGTATGTTGGAGAATATTAAACACAGATAGCAGTTATTTGTTAAATCCAATGTCACAAACCTATGTTTTCAGGTATCATATGTGACAACAGCTGCTGCTGCTGCTTAAAGTCCGTGCCCTGTGTGGTATTGGTAGTCATGACTGTCCACAACCTTCTGTCTCATGTACTTTCCATAAACTCTGACACATGATTCTCCATGCCATGATGTCAGACAGTCCAGAATTTTTTCTCTGAACACCTTAGAACAGGACACAATCGACTTCGCAGCTGAGACGGATATACAGAGAATTCCTGGTGCCATCGGAATTGGAACTCTGAATCTTTTCTCTCTCTACCGCTCCTCCCCTCCAGCTTTCCTACTGTCAGAATGTATTCCAGTTTTCTCCTTCTCATCACATGATCAAAGAATTGCAGTAGCTGCCAGCATAGAAGCAGTTGTTTCCTTGGTATCATTTCTCCATTGTAGCAATTCCTGATGAAAATGCTCGCCATGCTCATCACTAACCATGCCACAGTTACTGAGGACGAAATCCAAGTTGGAATGGAGAAAGTGGATATTTAGAGACATATTGCATCCTAGAATGTCAAACAGTGACATGGCCTCGATCAGTTTTTCATTCTGTCTATGCTAGGTGTTGCTCATTCTTATCTCCTACCTTCAGAGATGTCCTCAAGGGTGGATCTCTCCTTTTCTAGTGCAAAGTCTTTGCTCTACTGTCCCAGTAACATTTAAAAAAAAATCCAGTATTTTTTTTATATCCAATCCCAACTGCAGACCCATCAACAGAGCTGCCACCCTGAAGTCACAACAGAGATGCCAGCGATACCTGCTGTATTGAATATAGGGCAACAACTGTTTTAGGTTGTCATGTTTCTTTCATTAGACAGTGTGTCTGAGCGTAGGGTTCTAGTCACTTTAGTGAAGGGACTGGCCAGCTGGTGCTACAGAGTCAGAAGCTCAACATATTATTTGTGACAATTCCCACCAAGGTGATGTAATTATCCAAGCAGATGTCTCTGTGTAAAGAGGCAGACAAAGTGCATGAGGGTTGATAACAAAAGTGAATGGATGTTGCTTAGTGCAACAAAGCCTGACATGATGATATCACAACGACTAGTCTGAGAATGGAGTTGCAGACAGTCACCGCTGGCTTGAGAATCGGCTGTACGAACATGTCGTAACTGTAGCCGACTCGGAGCATGTTGAGAAAGGTAAAGACAGGCATGCGGAGTGGCAAGCATCGCTTCAGAGGTCCTGGATGGTAGGCATCCTTTGGATATTTTCTCCAGGTGATGCCGGTGTGTTAGGAAACGAGTTCGGAACTACTTAGTAGTGAACTGATGTTTGACAAGCTAGATGTTGTGAGGGCCCTTTGGGAGTGAGTGAATAGTGCGGATGTACAAAAAGATTATTACGGTCTGAGGAGAATGGCGCTGTGAGGAGTTAACCAGGGGGTCTGGCAGACTCTCCATTCTCAGGGTAAGGGCGAGACGGATATACAATCAGAATAAAGTAAGTCAAGCGGATCGACTCCATATGGCACAGTCTCTCTTCACAGAAGGAATCACTACCTGCCGCATCGCACAAACTCCGTAACTCTAATGATGATCCACAGAGATCTCCATACAAATGCACTTCACAACACAGCCATGTAATGAACCAATGTCCTTCAGAGCATGACAGAAGTGCATTTCTCTAGTGTGGGGGATATCTAAGGAGTAATTGTAATTATGTCAGCGTCTGTGGCTTAGGCGTTACGAATGTGCTTTGTAATGCCGGAGTGCCGGGTTCAATCCCAGCTGCGGGCCTTGCACCTTGAGTTGGTTTCGACAGTGGTATTGAGAAGCCAACCATACAGAAAGCAATGGCAAACTACTGGACATAAACTTGCCAAGAAAAACCACCACAGCCAAAAAATGCTGGGGTTGGTTCTGCAACGTCCTGTATATAATACACAACTAATTTTTTTTATTGTAATTATATGGAAATGAATGTGCAATGTGATCACCAACCTCTTACATTTTCAGCAGCATCTAAAAAGTGGAATATACAGTTTAAATAATGCGGACACAAACAATACATTGCACAATTTATTGCCAGGCATATTTCGCTGTATCTCGTCAGGTGCGTAAAACTCAAGTTTTGGAACAAGACTTAAGTCCAGAGGTAGACGAACAACCAGAACTGTCCCTGGAGTGTTGAATAGGAAGAAAAAGACTTATGACAGATGATTCCCTTCTAGCTGTTAACATTTACCAGAATATTTATCACATGCCTAAACACAATAAAACACAAGAAGAATTGTTGCAAACAAATGAACTGTTTTATTAGCTAATCAACAACCACTAGCAAAAGTCAAAGAATGCATAGACACTAAGTTGCTATATAAATAAGAACATTGAAACTGACAAAGCATTTCTTTTACATCACTGACAGCAGATTTGTTCAAAGCAGTGTACTGTATGGATAATAATAATATATAGTGACAGGTTTTGCTGCTGTTGCTAGGTATGTGAGTTCAACGGAAAATATATTTATACATGAGTTTTTCTATACCGACAATGAATGCGATTTAGTATAGTTTTAAAACATCCCTGTATAAAATGTTTTTAAAAACACAACTGAGGTTTGTTTGCAATGTGATAAAGGTATTTAACTATGTCACCCCAAGAAGAGTAAACAGAGTTACTTCCCGATGCAACACAGTCTCGTAAATGGCATTCCTGAAATGACCTTTTCTTAAAAAAAAAAAAAACATGGTTAAATTTCCATTGATTCTATTACGCTGCACAGCGTTTAAGAGGCCAGGATATGAATGTATTAACATTTAGTGAGTTTCCTTGTGAACCCAATTTTCAAAAAATTTTTTTTTAACATCACAATTTCCTATAAGCCTCAGTGATACATATTACTGCTTCATGGAACAAGTCGTCTGATACATTTGTTTTAGACCCCAGGGAATTTATTCCATCTAATGCTTCATGTTTACTTATTCAGTCATTTATATATCTTTACATATATATGGAACAGATTTTAAAATTAAGATCAATAAATTTGTAAACAATTTATTAGTGACCTGCGTAAAATGGCTGTTTTTGAATTTTTTTGGTGAGGAATTCATTTCCCTCTTGAAAATTTTTTTTTTAAAGCATTCACAGGGTGAAAGGGTTTAGAGCAGTCAAATAGATTATGGTCTTAAAGTTAATTGTTAACGACTTCTGATACTTTACATCAACTCTCACACTACACAAAAAGTAACCTGTGAATCCAGTAATTTTAGACTTATCAAATTCCCTTGACGGGTACAAAATACAACTGTAGTGAAAATCAATTCACATGATAAAGGAAACATCATTTCCTCCCATATTATACAATATATTACATACAATCCTACAATAGAGCGTATTTTAACACATCTTATTACTATCATTTAATCAAATGCATTTGTAATTTTCAAATAATGTCTATGCACAGAATAGAAATGTAACACATAAACAACACCAGGCAACATAAAAGGCAATCTTTCCATGGCAGGTACTGAGCTGAGTTTTGTACCAATATCACAGCATTCGGTTAGTTGTGTATCCTTTACAGGACATTGCAAAACCAATCCCAGCATTTGTTTTGCTGTTGTGGTTTTTCTAGGC